CATCAACAAAAGACCGGACCCACACACCAAAAAGTTAGACGTTAACAAAGTCGTAATTAATCGCAGTAACAGTTCTATTTCCGATGGTCTGAAATCCGTTTTAGCTAAAGGTCTAAACTTTGCAGTCACACCTAAACACATACCAGTTAATGATATAATTGCCCAAGTAGACGTTGCTCTCAGGGGCCTGGGTCACATCGCTGCAGATGTAGCAAGATCTGAAATCGCTGCAACCCTCAAAAACGCTAAGATGCCAGCTAGCAACCTCAGCAAAGATGAGCGTTTCGAATTATATAATTTAAAAAAGAGGGATGACATTGTAGTCCTCTCAGCTGACAAGGGCAATGCTACTGTCATCATGGATAAAATAAAATACAACAACAAAATTAAATAAATACTCGACGATGGTAGTTATACAAAAATAAAAAGAGATCCCACCAACAGCCTCGTCACACAAACCAACAAAATAATTTCTGATTCAACCGCATTAATTGATCAAGCTAAACAGTTTTCGTTGAAACCTTCTGCTGCCAGGCCACCAAGATTATACGGCTAACCAAAAATACATAAAGTAGATACACCCCGTCGTCCCATCGTCTCTACTATCAACTTCCCCACCTACAAACTGGCTCGTTTTTTGTCTGAAATCCTGCGTCCTTTCACTGGAAAAACCACCTCTGCGGTACAAAATTCTACTCACCTGGTATCGACAATCAAGGGTATTTCCCTGCCTTTCACTGGCAAGACCGCCTCAGCAGTACTCAACTCAGCCCAATTGGTCTCTATGGTCAAAGACGTTGTACTGTCCCCTGACGATATCCTTGTCAGCTTCGATGTGGTCTCTTTGTTCACCAAGGTCCCAGTACCTGATACCATTGAAATAATTGAAAATTTGGTCCAACATGGACTAGACCCCGACACACCTGCACTGGTTAGGCACTGCCTCAACAATACCTACTTTACTTGGAATGGCTCCTTCTACAAACAAAATGAGGGTACCCCCATGGGATCCCCCTTATCACCAGTGATAGCCAATATTTTCATGGAGAAATTTGAATCAGACGCCATCCAGACTTCCACCCTCAGACCTTCCCTGTGGAAGAGATATGTGGATGACACTTTCGTCATTTGGCCACATGGCCCCCCAGCTCTGAACCTTTTCCTACAAAGCGACATGTCTCTGACCGAATTCGCGAGTACAAATTAGATTTGAAACACGGCAAAACGAATTCTTCTGCCGTGGCTGATCACTGTTACAACGCTGTGGGGGATCACGATATAATTTTCTCCGATACCAAGGTTCTTTGCAAACCCACGGGCTTTTATCAGAGATTTGTTCATGAAGCAATTCAGATCTACAAACACAGACACAATTTCAACCGAGAGGATTGTTTCAAATTAAGCAACCATTGGAAAGATGTTCTAAATCGAACTAAACATTAAACTAATTTCAATGGTACAGTATATTTTTCAAGTAGTGGTACCCCAAACCTTCGCAGCTCTTATAAATTCCCCCTTTTCACACCATCAATAGGTAAACTCTCCCCTCCCCCCTTTCCCCCCCCCCCCCCCCGCGCCAAACTGCGAGTCCACCGGCACGTACACCACCTCTTTACTAAAATCCGCCATTCAAATGCTAATTTTTTATGCTAATTTCTTTGTCAGAACACCTTGTTTGCTCGCAAACAAGTCCGATGTCTGAGCGTGGTTGTGTTTCGCTAAATTCTCCTGTTTGATGAGTACTAGGTGCATCGGTGAATGTATATGCTCTTACTTTAACATAGCTATTTCTGTGACCAGTTACAAGCTAATCACTCAGCTATTTCAATGCTAAATTCGATGCTAATTCCTTTGTCAAGGGGTACCTCTGCGGATGTGTATACTTTAACTTAGCTATTTCAATGAGCCATTTCAATGCTAAATTATATGCTAATTCCTTTGTCAAGGCACTTGGCCTTTTTCTTCTCAGACAGCTTAAAGGTCGTGATCTAAGCGTGGCTTCTTCCACTCCAGCGCTAATTCCTATGTCAAGGGGTACCTCTGCGGATGTGTATACTTTAACTTAGCTATTTCAATGAGCCATTTCAATGCTAAATTATATGCTAATTCCTTTGTCAAGGCGCGTGGTCTTTTTCTTCTCACACAGCTTAAAGGTCGTGATCTAAGCGTGGCTTCTTCCACTCCAGCGCTGTCCTCCAGACAGTCTCGTCCCTTCACCTGATGAAGGCCGAATGTGTTGTGGCCGAAACGTCGTGATTTTTTGTTATTTTATTTTCACCTACGTGACTTTACCCAATAGAACCAAAGAGTATTTCCCTGTCCCCAGACGACCTGCTTGTCAGTTTTGATGTAGTTTCCTTATTCACCAAGGTTCCTGTACCTGACACCATCGCAATCATTGAAGATGTGGTTCATCAAGGACTAAACACTGAGGTACCCCCCTGGTGAGACACTGTTTAACCAATACATACTTCACTTGGAATAGAACTTTCTACAAACAAACTGAGGGTACCCCAATGGGCTCCCCCCTATTTCCGGTTATAGCTAACATTTTCATGGAGAAATTTGAGACTGACGCCATCCAGACTGCCACTCTGCGCCCAACCTTATGGAAGAGGTACGTGGATGACACTTTTGTCATCTAGCCACATGGCCGGCCTGCTCTAGACCAATTCTTCGACCAAATCAATTCCATACACCCAGCCATCAGATTTACCATGGAAGCTGAAAAAGATGGCAAGCTACCTTTTTTGGATGTCCTGATAAAAAAGAGACCTGATAGTTCAATGAGCCACTCTGTCTACAGGAAAGCTACCCATACGGATGCTTATCTGAAACCGGATTCCCACCACCATCCATCACAGAAGAATTCTCTCATCAAGACTCTGTACCATAGAGCCCAATGCATATCCGACCAGGAACACATAGGCAGTGAACTCAAGCACGTACACCAAGCTCTTAAGGCTAATGGTTATTCCGACTATACAATCCGCAAAGCTATCACTCAAACCATGAAGAAGGACCCTCTTGAGGAGCCTTTCAAAACCATCACTTTACCCTACATTGCGGGGATCACAAAAAAGGTCTCCAAAATCTTGAATAAACACAAGATCCAGGTCCGTTTCAACACATTACATAAAATCCGTGATCTGGTTCCGTCTGTAAAAGATGTGATTCCGGACATACAGTACCCTGGCGTCTACAAACTAAGTTGCCTCTGTGGTAGTAGTTACATTGGAGAAACCAAACGCCATGTCTCGGACCGCATTCGTGAACACAAAGCAGACCTTAAACACGGTAGGACCAACACCTCGGCCGTGGCAGATCATTGTTATAATTCAGCAGGCTGACACGACATTGACTTTTCTAAGACAGAGGTTCTTTGTAAGCCATCTGGCTACCATGAGAGATTCGTTCATGAGGCTATCCATATATACAAGCACAGAGACAATTTCAACCGAGAAGATAGATTCTGGCTTCGCAATCATTGGAAAGATTTGATAAACCATTTCAGGTCTTAATTGATTGTTCACGCTTATAGTGGCTTTCAGACAGCATACATTAATTTTTCGTCTCCCCCTCCTCTTTTCAGAACATAGATGGACTCGTCCTTCTAAATAAACTGCCAAATTGCTGCGCGTGGCGCTGACGGTTTCTAATAAATAAATAAATACACCGTTTAAAAATAAATACATTAATGCAAACCGACACACCTGATGACGACCGTTTGTGTTATGGTCGTGAAAATTTTTATTGTTTTATATGTATTTTATTATTTTATTGTTTCCCTTCAACGTGACTTTACCGAAAGAGCTAAGAATATGAATTACTGCAGTCACGAAAGCTTTCAATCAAAATTTACGTTATTTTTCAAAGGTGATGATATATTGAAGGGCAGAGTTATTTTATGCTAATGATAGTTCAGGCTCCAAGTAAAGTGGTTAACTGGTTGCTGTTTTCCAAATGTCAGCAGGTGGGATTGTACAATTTGATACCCCTGAATATTCATTTTAAAATTGTGTGATCACATTTTATATTTTAGTTTTCAGGCAGAGAGAGTGTCAAAGGTTGTTATAAAGTCCTTCAGGCAGAGAGCGGAGGGTCCTGGAGCTGAGTTTTCAGGTAGATTGATTCAAGTTGCAGTGGTACAGGCAGACCGGTACAGGAAGTGTATGAACAGGTTTCAGTGTTACAGGCAGAGCGTTATTCAGGCCACTCCTGACCATCGCCGTGTCTGGGTGTGGTGGCCGTGCCCTGCCTCCGCCGTGGGCTTTCAAGGAGGGAGAATTCCCCATTGGTGAACCTCCCAGTGCCACCGCATTTCTGCGACCTGTGAGCCGTGGGCGTTTGACGTCCACGGCACCGCCGAGTTCCGGAGTCTCCCAGGCGCTCAACCTGCTGCGACTCGTGACAGGCGTGTGTCTTCGCTGCATCAGAGCCCGGGGTTCTGAGGCTGCAAGCTGCTCGTGAGTGTGGCGCAGAACAAATAATACAAATGGACCAAAAAAACAATCCCGTACGAAGATAGCGTGTTTACTGTAATCTCGAAGACTCTGCATGGGGGAGATGTACGCAGCGCTGTGCTCTTGTGTGAAAACCCCTTGCGTTTTAACGATCGCCCATCTGATGCTCCGGCGCGCGCTTTTCACCGGATCGCAACTCGATATTTTCTGTTTTGTGACTGCGGTTATTAGTCATGAAAAGTGCAGTATTTTTCATTGTCTCAGTTGTACGCAGTGTATAATGTACCCTACGTAATATTTTACACTCAAATAAAGCGTCATTACTTTATCGTGCACATGGTGCCGATCGCCGGGCCAGTTACAGCTTTTTGGGGCGGTTTCGCTGGGTTCGCCGGATTGGCCTGGGACTACCGGATAATGTTGGAAGCCGGATAGTCACGCACCGGGTAATCTTACCTATGAAAGGCATTGTTTTCTTTGTCTGCCTGTGGCTGTGTCTCTGTGTGTGGCTGAAACTTGCGAGGGATTTGGCTCACAAACCGTGGGGGTGTTTGTCTAAAATAACAGGCAACGTTTCGATCAGTCGCCCTTCAAAACGTGGTAGGTAGGTCTATCCACCTCTCCACCTACTGTGCCTAATTTGCAGTGCTTTTGGCAAACGGAATGTTTGAGTCTTTAACCAGACCGTGGGGAACAAGCAGTATTGTCCACACTCACTCAACCGGTTTGATATGTCGAATGTTTGCTTCGCAGCTGACGTGTCAAGTCACACACCTAACCACTGCATCTAAATTTAGACTTCCTCATTCCACGCACCGTACTAAAAGAGCCCTACGGCAGTAGCGTCGTGGACTCGCCAGAGACCATGGCTTCGTCTTCATCGAGACAAGAGGACGATTTCTCCTGCTCCATCTGCCTCCAATTGTTTGACGTCCCCGTGAGTCTGGCATGCGGCCACAACTTTTGCAAGAAATGTGTGGAGGGATTATGGGGTTCAGAGGCGGCGCAGGTTCGCTTCACCTGCCCGCAGTGCCGCAGGCGCTACGCCAAGAAGCCAGAGCTCAACAAGAACGTGTTCATAGCCGACTTGGTGGAGAAGTTTAAGGACTCGCAGAGAGGCCAGTGTAGAGATCACACGGAGCCCATGAGGTATTACTGCCAGAAACACGCGCGTCTGGTCTGCGCGACCTGCATGCTGGCGGGAGATCACAGAGGCTGCGATGCCATCACCGTGGAGGGGCAGCAAACGAAGATGAAGGTGAGCGATCGTCATCGGACAATTCCGTCAAATACATCGATACGTAATTTAAAATATTTATCTTAATTATTTTAAAAGGTGTATACGTTGTTTGTCTCTTAACTGTGATTCTTCAATATATCACTGTTAGAGTTAATACGTTGTTTGTCTCTTAACTGTGATTCTTCAATATATCACTGTTAGAGTTAATATTAGGTTAGTAACACTCAGTCTATGCTGCCGTGCAGTTTTCTGGGTGAAATGTGATCTAAGTTTTGTCCAGTCCTGCCCGGCTGTCTCAACAAGCTAATTCAACTAACTCAACACATTTGTCAATAACGCTGCCCTAAAAGGACAAACGTAAAATGCGTTCTGAGCGATGACCTTGCTTCATAGCAGAGAGATGCTTTCACTATTTGTGCTTTTGCCAACACGGTACGGTCAGTCCTCACCTAACTATCACACTATAACGCGTTGTTGCTATAACGCAGTTCTTACATTTTGCAAACACTTTGCGCACAATGAGGAATCCTTACCCCATTATAACGCAGAATGTCCGGCTGAGCGGTACAGTGATACAGTACGCAGAATCATACATCAACGTGGCAGTGTACCCTCACTGTGTGTGTGTACATTGTACCTCGCCAAACTTTATCATTACATTATTTGTGGGGAAATTGTTTTCACTTCACATGTTTTTCGCTTAACTTTTCAGGAACGCATCTACCGCGTTAAACGAGGACTTGCGGTACTGTGTCGGTAACAATAATTTCGAGAAGTTAGCACGTTGAGATGTGAGTCTACATAGAGTATAGTAAATCAATATATCTAATTAAATTAATACAGTGCCTTCACTCAAGCCATTTGACATAGCTTACAAAACGGTGACAGAAAATATCGTGGAAATTATCTCAATAAAGGCGTCTTCAGAGCACTCTACGTAGAAATAAAATATATATGAATGCTAAACACTTTGAATATGTAAAATACAATATAAAAAAAGCCATTTACCCGAGACAATATTATCTTCAAAGAATAAAAGCCTGTGTTATAATTAAGGCCAATTTCCAAATTGAAAGAATAACAGTAAAAGCATATGCGCAGCTCATGTCATGTAGTTGCACTGTGTTGGAGATGCACGGATTAATTGGCTTCTGAATAAACAATTACAAGTATCGAAAGTCTACATCTTAAAATACAAAAAACGTATGAAGTACACGTAAAACACACGCGGTTAATACATCATTCCCATAGTCGATTGACACCTTCCAAGGGATGCAGCACTATCGGCACCACTTTTCGACGTGGACATGAGAATCTTAGCAGAATCTTAGCAGATTATCATGCCGTGTATAGCCGAAACTTCACCCGCATGTTCCGGAAAACGGAGCTCATTTGGTAAACCGTATAGTGCCAAACACGCATTCAACAAAGCTGCGTTGGGCAAGGTTTTCTTGTAAGGCTATAGATTTCGCAACATTGTCTGTATGCAACATGGCCCCATAAAGCAGTTAATTAATAACACAATATAATTAATGTCAACATTAATTTTTTTTATAACTCGGAGACAATAAGACTTGAAGGCACTTCTTTAATTTAACAAGCACCATCGGGGTAACACACAACACCCCGCGTGGGTGCACACTATTATTATTATTAAGAACCTATTTGCGGGATCCTGGAGCTTTCCGATGAGCCCCTTCTGTGACCTTTCCCCCCTAGATGTCCCCCTCTCGTATATATCGTGGCCGGCTGACGCGAGCACTGCCGTACACCGAAGTTCCCATTTTTTGCCAGCGCTATGCCACTACATATGTGCTTGCATCAGCCACAAGCGGTCTCAGGCAGTGACGTCATAGTGGCCATGTTTAATGGGGGAACGCGTTGCCTTTTTGCGTGAGGCCTTTCTGACGATTGATTTAGAGTCATTACGTAATTCATCGATCCTTCACTGACAGCGTTGTGATCTCACTACAACATCCTTATCTCCTTTGAAGTTTGAGTTGTTTTCTATTAAGACACTGGATCTCGGTACAATTGAACACGTTTGACACATTTTTAAAGCAACTTCTCTGCTCATGTCCCTTGTAATCGATCTCATTACCTTGACGTGTTCTATCTATTCTGCTGCCGTCTCACCACAGGAGACAATTGCAGGAGAGAAAACAAGAATGGAAAAGGAGAAGGCTACGGAAGAGAATGCCGTCACTTCTCTGAGGAAGTCATTCAAATCTTTTCAGGTACACGATGAATGTCTGTCTTCAGATTACTGCAGTCCCAATACACACGTGCTGTATTTACAAACCACTTGCACCATTGTTCTCGAATCGTAAACCTTGTAGTGGGTTTACTCTCCAAAACACAACCGGTTAGTGCTGAACTAGTAACGAATTAGCACATTTTGTTTACGTGACAAACCCTTGCTAATTGGCTGTGTCGATTGGTGGCGGGTTTTATTGACACATTTATATTTACGTGATATAACTCTAAAACCTTTATTATGGTATCTACATGGCACCACACAGCCGACCTTTCTACACAGCCCCATCGTTGGCATCTAACCGCACAGCTGGCTGATTAGTGTAGCGCCGACGATGATGAGAGCCGTGCAGAGGATCGGCCACTCGGCCGGACGAAGAAGAGAGATGATGGCGAGTAGCGATGCAACCAGGACCCGGGACCCCGCGACAGCCCTGAACGTTTGGTTCCGTCCCCCTTATATACCTCCCGGCTTGGCCAAGCCCCACCTCCAGCCACGCCCCCTTACAGAACCTTCTAGCAGTGTCCCGGAGCTTCCCGAATGACTCCACCTTTCACCTTTACCCCAGATAGTCCCCCTCCTAGTTAGTCATTATGTAACTCGCCCATACCCGTGATTACCCCTCCAGGCCGACATTACACACGCATGCACTGGTGCAGTATATCTTACGTAACAATTAATATCCGTAATATAAGAGACATACAAACGCCCACAGGGCTTAAATCCAAGACCTCAGCAGTGGCCATGCTTATATTATCTAGATTTCTATAGCGCCTTAACCCAAGGTACTTTACTGAAATTATACAAATGGTATATAAGATGGTAGTGCTTGAGATAAAGAATGTGGTTATTACAAGTGGTGGTGCAGTTATGGTGAACGTTTGGATAGCAGGCAGGAGAGATTATGGAAGGGTAGTGATTGGGGTTGTGGGTAGTGATATGGGTTGGAGTAGTGATAAGGGTGGTGATAGGGGATGGTGTAGTGATAGGGGTAGCGATAGGGGTTAGGGTAAGGATAGGGGTTGGGGTAGTGGTAGGGATTAGGGGAGTGATAGGGGTTAGGGGTTACGGTAGTGATGGGGGTAGTAAAGGGGTAGCGATAGGTGTAGTAAGAAGGGTTAGGGGAGTGATAGGGGTTGGGGTGGGCCTGGTTGTAGCTACGGGGTGGGGACAGAGAGTAGCAGTAGCAGCAGGATGGGCGACGGAGAAGAGATGGCGGTTGTTCTGAGGGAGGAATGGAAGCTGTAGGTTGTTGCCATGAGGATGGTCGCTCTGTGCACTGGAGGGGGAGTTTGTTCCAGTGGAAGGGAGCGAGAAGGGAGCAGGGACGAGAGAGCGAGACTGGGTGGAGCAGGGTGGCGAGGCAGCCACAAAGATGGGCGGTATAGACTGGGAGCAGAGAGGATGGGATGAGGGGGGGGGCAGCGCAGTGAGATAGGGTGGAGCAAGACCATGGAGGGATTTGTAGACTCGAGTGAGATGTTTAAACAGACAGCGATAGTAGACAGGGAGCCAGTGGAAATTGAGAAAGAAGAACAGAAGTGTGGGACTTGCGCGGGAGGTTAAACATGATCCGGGCTGAGGCATTTTGTATCCGCACCTCCGATTAGCGTGGTTGGCTACGTACAGTGCGAGATAAGTTGGCAGGAAAGCCGAGAAGAAGAGAGTTGCAGCAGTCGAGGTGAGTGCAAACGAGGGGAGTGAATCCGGAGTATAACAGCAGAGAGAAAGATGAGCAGATTCGTTATTTTGAGCTCGCTGGCCACCTCGGGTTCACTTTGCTGGACACTCACAAGTGTCCAGCCTCTTGCCGGTGTCCACTGCCAGTGCGTGTGCTGATGTAAACAGATCTTGTGCGGGTCTCCAGGACTTGACTGAAAATGTCAAGGATCGGATCAAGGAGAGCTTCGCCTTTGAGAGGCGACTGCTGGATGAGGAGGAGCAGGAGGCCCTGCGGGGAGTGCAGGAGAAGAGCCGCCAGGGGCTGTCGTGGATCCAGAATAAAATTGAGGAGCACGTGAAGAAAATAGAGACCCTCACCCAAGACGTCGGCAAGCTGGAGAAAGCGATGGCACTGCAGGATCCCATCGCCTTCTTAAAGGATGATCAGGTGACATTCTTGCTCATCAAGATCCACATGGAGGTGAGTCCCAGAGTCAGGTGGTGGCGAGATGTTCACTACCTCGCCTGGTAAAATTTTGACTTAAAGCTTTCATGTTTGCAGGAATTCATATTCTTTGGGTCTTTTGGTAAAGTCACGTAAATAGGTTAAAAGAAAATAACAAAAAAATAACAAAAAACTACGACGTTTCGATCATCAAATTCACCATGGAGATAGAAAAGGATGGCATGCTACCATTGTTGGATGTTCTAATCGAAAAGAGACCAGATGGCTCAATGGGACACTGTATACAGTAAAGCAACTCATACGGATGCCTACCTAAAACCTGACTCCCACCACCATCCATTCCAGAAGAGTTCCCTCATTAAAACTCTACACCATAGAGCTCGATGTATCTGCGACCATCATCACCTATCCAGTGAACTGAAACACGTCCACCAAGCTCTCAAGATGAATGGATATTCGGACCACACAAACCATAAAGCTATCACCCCAACCGTTGGGAAAGAACCATCTGAGGACCCAATCAAAACCATCCCCTTGCAATACATAGCAGGGGTCACCAAAAATAATTCCAAAATCTTGAGCAAACACAAGATCCAGGCTCGATTGAACACATTACATAAAATTCGTGATCTGATCTCATTTGTGAAAGATAGGATCCCTGATATGCAATAACCTGGCGTCTACAAACTAAGCTGTGTGTGTGGCAGTAGTTACATTGGGCAAACTAAGCGACATGTCTGGGACCGTGTTTGTGAGCATAAGGCAGATTTGAAACATAGCAGGACCAACATGTCGGCCATGGCTGATCATTGTTGTAATGTGGTTGGCTCACGCGAAATTGATTTCTCCAAGACGAAGGTACTTTGTCAGTCCACTGGCTACCAACAAAGATTCGTTCATGAAGCCATCCATATATACAGAAACAGACACAATTTCCACCAAGAGGATGGGTACAAACTCGGCAATCATTGGAAGGAAGTTATCAACCAGTTTAAGTCATAACTGGCTGTGATGTTCCCATCCTGCCACCTTCCGATGTTAGTTTTTTTTAATTTGTATTTTCCCTGTGGCTTCAGCTCTCCGATTTGACATAAATATTACATTTCTCTCACCAACACAGCCACCTACGTGCGCCGACCACCACACTTTGGCGGCTCTGCGATCTTACATTAACGTGCTAATCTCCTACATTAACATAGCCACCCCCAGACGCTTGATGTGGAGGCCGCTTTCCAATCTTACATTAACGTGCTAATCTCCTACATTAACATAGCCACCCCCATACGCTTGATGTGGAGGCCGCTTTCCGATCTTACATTAACGTGCTAATTTCCTACATTAACATAGCCACCCCCATACGCTTGATGTGGAGGCCGCTTTCCAATCTTACATTAACGTGCTAATTTCCTACATTAACATAGCCACCCCCAGACGCTTGATGTGGAGGCCGCTTTCCAATCTTACATTAACGTGCTAATCTCCTACATTAACATAGCCACCCCCATACGCTTGATGTGGAGGCCGCTTTCCGATCTTACATTAACGTGCTAATCTCCTACATTAACATAGCCACCCCCATGCGCTTGATGTGGAGGCCGCTTTCCGATCTTACATTAACGTGCGAATCTCCTACATTAACATAGCCACCCCCATACGCTTGATGTGGAGGCCGCTTTCCAATCTTACATTAACGTGCTAATCTCCTACATTAACATAGCCACCCCCATGCGCTTGCTGTGGAGGCCGTTTTCCGATCTTACATTAACGTGCTAATCTCCTACATTAACATAGCCACCTCCATGCGCTTGCTGTGGAGGCCGCTTTCCAATCTTACATTAACGTGCTAATCTCCTACATTAACATAGCTACCCCCATGCGCTTGATGTGGAGGCCGCTTTCCGATCTTACATTAATGTGCTAATCTCCTACATTAACATAGCCACCCCCATGCGCTTGATGTGGAGGCCGCTTTCCGATCTTACTTTAACGTGCTAATCTCCTACATTAACATAGCCACCTCCATGCGCTTGCTGTGGAGGCCACTTTCCAATCTTACATTAACGTGCTAATCTCCTACATTAACATAGCCACCCCCATGCGCTTGATGTGGAGGCCGCTTTCCGATCTTACATTAACGTGCTAATCTCCTACATTAACATAGCCACCCTCATGCACTTGATGTGGAGGCCGCTTTCCAATCTTACATTAACGTGCTAATCTCCTACATTAACATAGCCACCCCCATGCGCTTGCTGTGGAGGCCGCTTTCCGATCTTACTTTAACGTGCTAATTTCTCACATTAATATCACCAGCACCGCCCACTTCGTTTACAACCCATGGGCTATGCCCATTTCAAACCTTTTCAACAGTCTGCCATCAGCAGCTCTCTCACTCTTTTTTTAGTCCTAATGACAATTGCTTGTGTTGTAATCGAAACGTCATCGTTTTTTGGGTATTTTATTTTAATATTATTATTTATTTTTATTAATTTGAACCTGTCTACGTGACATTACTGAAAGACCCAAAGAATATACCTCGCCTTGTATGTTGGAGGTCATGGGTTCGATCCCGACCCTGATGCCTTCTGTATATTTGGATTTTGCGTGTCTCTCTCTTTCCCCGTGGTCGCGCTATTTTTTTCTCCAGGTCCTCCGGTTTTTCCCTCCATATTTATAAACACGTGTTTGGATTATTTGGCTGCTATACATTTCCACGTGATAAAGCCACTTCGTCGAGCTGTCATTTGCGACAGCCAGGTTGCTTCTGAGCTATATAGCTCAGTGGGCCTTACCTGGAAAAATAAAAAAAATAGTTTAGTTTATGAGAATAGGTTTTCCCCTTTTTTTGCTGCCAACAAAACAGGTATTCTTGGTTCTTTCGGTAAAGTCACGTAGAAGGGAAACAATAAAATAATAAAAATATAAAACAATATTGTTTCCCTTCTACGTGACCTTACCGAAAGAACCAAGAATATGAATCCCTGCAGTTATGAAAGCTTTAAATCAAAACAAAACAGGTGTTAAGATGTTAAATCACCAAACTGAAATCTTTTTACAAGGAATCATGTTTGCATTAACCACAATACTTGTGGTCAGAATGCAAACAAAAAACGCACTGATAGTATATGCATTGTCCTTGAAACTGAATGGTCCAAATCAGGCCTTTTAGACCAGAGGACGCCAAAAGGCATTTTCACGTCCTCTGGTCTAACACCGTTTTGAGACTAGGATCAAATGAAAGCTGTCTCTGGTGTGGACCAATCAGTTTCAAAGACAATGCATAAATTATCAGAGTGTTTTTTTTGGCATCCTGACCACAAGTATTGTGGTTAATGCAGACATGATTCCTTGTAAAAAGGTTTCAGTTTGGTGTTTTAACATCTTAACACCTGTTTTGTTGCCAGAACACAGGGGAAAACCTATTTTAATTTTTGGTACTGGTGTAATGAGAGAGCGCCATCTAGTGGGTGCCAAGGGGTAACTGCACGTGCACCATCGGATAACCGGTATCCAATCCTGAGCGGGATTACATCTCTGGGCCAAAGGTAACGGGTGGAGCCGGTGAGAATGTTCGGAAAACATCGGGAAGGTTTCATGAAGGGGCGTGGCTAGAGGTGGAACCTAGCTAGAGAGGGAGGCGAACCTCGACGGTGGGACGGAGAGATCGTCTCATCCACGGCAGTGATAAAAGGGGAAATACCCGGAGAGAGAAGGAGCGGAGCTGTGCAGAAATTCGGTTAATTAAAAGACACCATCCAAGAGTCGTCGTGGAAGTCGTTTATTACACTGGCAAAGGAGGTCCCATGATGTTGTTTAGTTTAGTTGAGGTGAGTCCCAGTCTGTTCTAAGATTGCTCTATAGTCTGTTTCATTGAAGGCATCTTACATAGTTGATGTTTTCTCCCTTGAAGCATTGTTGATGTTTTTTCCTTTGAAGCATTAAAACTATATAATTTGTATCTATCTGTCATGTTTATAACAACACTCAACTTATAATCAGAAGGTGATATTTTACTGTCTCGTTTGAGGATCCACTTTGTAAATTATCATCATCATCTCCCCATGGTCTAGGAATTCAGGCGCATTGCATTGAGTGGCCATTCAACTACCAGCCATGGATCTGTTGTTCATGGCTGAGGATTGGAGATGGCATATAGGGGATTGGGTTAAGTCACGGCTTGGAGCTGGGCCATAGGGATGTCACGCACTTAATGAGAAGGTATCCAACAAGGTGGTGACACCATTGGCGAGACCCAATGGCTTGTGAATCGATCACTTTATAGAGATTAACGAGAGCCGTCTGTGTCTTTGTCTGCCCCAGGAACGTAATGCGAGCTCGACGACCCCGGAGACGAGAGGTATATGGCAGTAAGTTCTCTATTTATGTTGGGGATGCCTCCTTAGAAAACGCGACATTAAGCGAAACAAATCAAACCCTAATTTACCATTGGCTTCATGGTAGCACCTTCGATTAGCACGGTTGGCTATGCATGGTGTGAAAGAAGTTCAACATTCATACGTATATTTAGGATACGTTGTCGGGGATACGTTTTTCTGTCAACATTTCCAGAAAAAATAAAGTAAATAAGTACCAAACAAAGATAAGGAAGATACCCACCAACTTTGTATATAACAAGTTTAAACATATGCGTACTTCAGGCGACATCTAACAAGTGTATGTATCTATGCGAAGTGGAGCAGTGACGCAGTGTTCAACGCACTCTGCTATGAACCCAGCAACCTCACTTCAACTCAGAGGCGGCAAATGGCCTTGGAACTGTCAATTTTTCTTTGCTTCCTTGGCACCGTACTAATAAACCAGCTTAAGGTAATTACAGTGAGGATGGTCTCGTAATGATAAATAAATAACGGTCAATGAGCCGTTAAAAAATCAATTGAATTGTCTTTAATAAACAGCTTCGGGAGCAACAAGAAACAGCACCTCCCAGCCACCATCATTGTCTATCGATCTGCTGTATATCAACTGTCTAGAAGTTCTCCTTAGCACCACCTCTGACGATAAAAATCAGCCTCGATTAAGAACGAATCAAGAATTGTCGTTCACAAGAATAGCATACACAACATTCGTGCCGTTTATCAGCAAACTCAACCACTCTGGAGCAATATCCATCACACTTTAATCGAGCCAGACAATGCTGATGCTGGAGGCTGGATTACCCATTGTAATGTCTTTTGACAAAGTTGTCTCAGAAGCACTGCCGTTGTCGATCTCCTCACTGGAGCTGTCATTCCCTTCTTCCTATCGATGACGCCACGACTTCAGTCGAGATGCGTGGCATGGTCGTGACGTTGCTTTCGGGTGCCTTCATCCAATTTCTAAACACGATGCGTGTTGTCAGGTGACTACTATTGGTCCCTTATACAACGTGTCTACAACGTGCACCTTTTGGCTCTAACAAAAGCTGTCTCGGGTCTGGACCAATCAATTTCAAGGACAGTGCCAATACATTATCAGAGTTGTTGTTTTTTGTTCGCATTCCGACCGCAGGTATTGTGGTCAATGTAAACACGACTCCTTGTAAAAAAGGTGTCAGTTTTGTTGCCAGATAAAAGGGTAAAAAAACAATGATCATGTTTTGCTACTGGCAAAGGAGGTTCTAATGGCACATACCATTGGTTCAATAAAATAGATAGGGACTTCATGGACACCCAGTACATGGACTGCATGTGCGTCGGTGGGCCAATGTGCCCGGCTCCAGTCGGATTTAAATGGCTGTTGCCCATGGCGAGCTTTACATTACCGTGGTGATGCTCATCAGAGGCCTTAATAATATACTGCATGTTGTCAAGGCGTCTAGATCTCATGTTTTTCCCCATTTTATTTCCAACAGGATGTCCTACGATACTCTATGGTATGAAACATCATCCGGAACATGCAATCTCCCACCAAAAACACTGAATACTTACTGCGGTTGTACACCCAGTTGGCCGTGTCGGGTGGTGGAGGGTTACGACACATATCTTAATAACGCTATCGAACCCAAAAACCTTTATAATGAAAAACACGGCGAGCTTCGCATTACCGTGGTGATGCTCATCAGAGGCCATCTTCATAAACTGCTGCTTCTGTTCAATCGCTTGAAGCTGAGCTTGTGTTTGCCAAGGCTCGATGCCATTTATGTCTCAGCCCTCGGATTTTTGCGGTTTACCTGAACAGTTTGAACAAATGTCAGCTAATTAACATGCTGTCAAGGCAGCTACATCTGATGGTTTTCCCCATTTTATTTCCAACAAGAGGTCCCTCGATATACCAAGGTATGGCACATCATGCTGAACATGCATTCCCTCACCAAAAACACTTTATACTTAATGCAGTTGTACCCCAATACGTCAGCCGTTCATCTGAGCTTGCGTTGTCCTTCCCCCACAGCTTGCTTAAGCCACCTCTGATTAGCGTGGTTGGCTACGTACGGTGCGCAACAAGTTCACAACATAGTACTAACGTAGTCCTCTGCATGTTCCTGGAAGGCGTCTCCAACATTGAATTGTGCATGCTTATGCTAGAGCAGAATCTGAGTGATGTAATATCAACAAACAAACCTGAAGCAGCTTGGGGTCTGATCGAAAATCCCATTTACGATCAATCGCATGGCATTTTCACTCTCTGCATCTACCAGAAGGGTAGCTTTCATTTTCTTGGAAGTCAATTAATAAAATGTCGTTATATGTTAATGCTGTTTGTGACACATTAACGGCGTGGTTAAAGTAAAAAAAAAAACATTCGGTATGTGCTTTTCGCAATTGGTACAATCATTTTACACATGTCTATATATATTGCAAACCTTCGGGCTACCATCAAAGATTTGTCCATGAAGCCATCCAGACATATATAAACACAGAGACAACTTCAACCGAGAAGATGGGTATACGCTGAGCAACCATTGGAAGGACGTCATTAACCTAGCGCCAGATTACAGGCAGCCACGTGCACCAGCACGGCCACTGGCTCCACCGCCAGCCCTCCTCTGTTACTGCCATGGATGGCGCAGACGGTGCGAGCAGCCTCACCGGGGGCGCTGGAAGCGTCGAGGGGGCGCCCAGCCCGGGGACCTCCCACGGAGATGCTGGCCCGGGGCCGGGGCCACAGGGGTGCTCCCTGGCGAGGCGGGAGTAGCTCTTCATTTGACGTTAACAGTTTAAAATATTTTCACACCGACATAGCCACCGCCGCGTGCCGACCTCGACTTGGCGGTGGCTCCGCGATCACACATTAACATTCTAATCCCTCACATTAACATCACTAACACCGCCCCTCTCCCCCTGCCACCGATTATCTATGCCCCACCCCCCTCTCTCTCCCCCCCTCCCCCCTTTGTCTTCACACGCAGCCTCCCACTTCCAGCCCCGCCCACTCCCCCTGGGGTTGTGCCCAGCTCAGACCTATATAACCTCGTGTCACGGCAGCTCTCTCGCCTACTACAGCAGTTTTCTTGCTGTGGCTGTCTCACCTGATGACGATTGCTCTGTGTTGCCATCGAAATGTCGTGATTTAGTTTTCTTTTCAGCAAATTAACATGTTGGATTTTGCGGTTTACCTGAACAGTTTGAACAAATGTCAGCTAATTAACATGCTGTCGAGGCATCTAGATCTGATGGTTTCCCCCATTTTATTGCCAACAGGATGTCCTACGAGTATGCGAGGTATGGAACAACCATCCCGAACAGGCAACCCCCCACCAAAAACACTGTATACTTACTGTAGTTGTGTACCCCATTACGTTAGCCGTTCGACCGAGCTTGCGTTGTCCTTCCCACACAAGCAATCGTATGAAAAGATGTGGGCATCATGTGTTCTACACGCACCGGTATCGTCAATTAAACCAAGTCCACGTTTCGTGTCACGAAATGTTGGCTATGTGGTACCACTTATAGTACGGAGATGTTCAAAGGCAGTTCCTCCTAAAATAGCAAAAGTAGTAGTCTTTAATGGTACAATTCAATGTTCTGCGGAGAGACGGTTATACCTCTTCCAATGGCTCACTCTTTGGTTATTTCGATAAAGTCACGTAGGTAGAAAAGAAAACTAAATCACGACATTTCGATCGCAACACAGAGCAATCGTCATCAGGTGAGACAGCCACAGCAACAAAACTGAAGTAGGCGAGAGGGCTGCCGTGACACGAGGTTATATAGGTCTGAGCTGGGCACAACCCCAGGGGAAGTGGGCGGGGCTTGAAGTGGGAGGCTGCGTGTGGAGACAAGGGGGGGGGGAAGTGGGCGGGGCTTGAAGTGGGAGGCTGCGTGTGAAGACAAGGGGGGGGAAAAGTGGGTGGGGCTGGACGTGAGAGGCTGCGTGTGAAGACAAGGGGGGAAGGGGAAGTGGGCGGGGCTGGAAGTGGGAGGCTGCGTGTGAAGACAAGGGGGGGGGGGGAAGTGGGCGGGGCTAGAAGTGGGAGGCTGCGTGTGAAGACAAGGGGGGGGGGAGAAGTGGGCGGGACTGGAAGTGGGAGGCTGCGTGTGAAGACAAGGGGGGGGGGGGGGAGTGGGCGGGGCTGGAAGTGGGAGGCTGCGTGTGAAGACAAGGGAGGGGGGAAGTGGGCGGGGCTTGAAGTGAGAGGCTGCGTGAGACAAGGGGGGAGAGGGGGGGGTTGGACAGAGGTCTCGATGGGAGCTGCGTGTCGTGATTTATTTTTTTCTACCTACGTGACTTTATCGAAATAACCAAAGAGTTTGTCATTGGAAGAAGTAATAGACTACTACTATTGCTCTTTTAGAAGGAACTGCCTTTGAACATCTCCGTACCATAAGTGGTACCGCATACTCATTGTTTTTTTCGGTAAAGTCACGTATGTAGAAATACCACAAAATTATTTTAAAACATGTAAAACATAATATAAAATAATTTTGTGGTATTTCTACATACGTGACTTTACTGAAAAAAACAATGAGTAATTTATGCAGTCACGAAAGCTTTAATTCTTTATTGGTACCACATACATATAATACAAAAATAAAATTATATAATAGCATACGACGTTTCGATTGCAACACAAGCAATCATCATCAGGTACAGAATTTACACAGACACATCAGGGGACACAGAGAGAGGCGGAGGAGCACACTAAATCAAACAGGGTTTAGCGAAAATTATGAAACTATATAAAGCAACACAGACGGTCGGTTAAAACACAATTAACGCATGGTCTGGTTGATTACGCTATTTCAAAGATTGCTAAATTGTAAGTTAAGTGTCTGTGTAAATTCTGTACTTGATGATGATTGCTTGTGTTGCAATAGAAACGTCGTATGCTATTATATAATTTTATTTTTTATTATTTCTACGTGACTTTACCGAAAGAAACAAAGAGTAATTCCTGCAGTCACGAAAGCACCTAATCAAGTTTGGTACCACATAGCCAACATTTCGTGACACAAAACGTGGACTTGGTTTAATTAACAACGGTGTGTGTAGAACACATGATGCCCACATCTTTTCAAACCCTTTTTTTTTAGTTTCACTGTAGCACTGCCAAACCACTCATCCATCACGCCGATGGAACGCTTAAAAATAAAAAAACTTAATGACTGAATATTTTATTAATGAGAGAAAAAAATGACGTGAATACTCTTGCTCAGACTGAAATCAAAACTTGATTAGCAATGAAGGATCCTCTTGCTCGGAGCACTTTTCACCTTTCGGCTTAATTAGTGCACGGAAAGCGTTCCGGTTGGATGTTTTAATCTCTTTTGAATGTTCTTCAGTTAATTTTTGGGTAGCCTTTCCCACCTACATTGGTATGGATTAGAGAGGTGTTACGGGACCACGTCTGTTGATGGATTTAATTTGGATTCGTATGCTCATGAATACAATTTTCCATTCACGTAGCTTTGTGCTTCACGTGACGCTTACAGCTATGGGCGCTGCATTTACCACATACAGCTTATCAAATTGTGATTCTCCCAGTGCATACATCTAGATATGACAGCTCCTCACTGGAGCTGTTATTCCCTACTTCTTATAGATGACGCCACTCTTCTGTTGAGGTGCGTGGCACGTCAACACGATACGCGTTGGCAGGTGATTACTAATATAACAATAGGTTTTACCCTTTCTGGCAATAAAACAGGTGTCAAGATGTTAAAACACCATACGGAATCCTTATTCAATGAATCCAGTCTGCATTTACCACACGCGGTACTTGTAGTGAACATTGTCTTTGAAACTGATTGGTCCACACCAGAGACAGCTTTCTTTAGAGCCTAGTCTTAAACAGTGTTAGACCAGGGGACGCCAAAAGGCGAACAGCACAAAGACAATGCCACTACCAGGACATTGATAGGTCGGGGTGAGCAGCTACAATATGGGACCCTTCTTGCCAGTATTAAAATATAACAATAGGTTTTACCCCTTCTGGCAATGAAACACGGCGAGCTTCGCATTACCGTGGTGATGATTATCAGAGGCCCTCTTCATGTACTGCTGCTTCTGTTCACTACGCTGGCATGCAATGACTTGAAGCTGAGCTTGTGGTTGCCAACGCCCGATGCCATCTCTGTCTCAGTGCACGAATTTTGCGTTATACCTGAAAAGTTTTAAACAAATGTCAGCAAATTAACATGTTGTCAAGACAGCTAGATCTGAGGGTTTTTCCCATTTTATTTCCAACAGGATGTCCCTCGATCCTCTAAGGTATGGAACATCATCCCGATCATGCAATCTCCCACCAGTTCATCCGCGCTTGCGTTGTCCTTCCCCCACAGCTTGCTTAAGCCACCTCTGATTAGCATGGTTGGCTACATACGGTGCGCAACAAGTTCCCAATATAGTACTAACGTAGTCCTCTGCATGTTGCTGGAAGGCGTCTCCCACATTAAATTGTGCATGCTTATGCTAGAGCAGAATCTGAGTGATGTAATAACAGCAAACCTGAAGCAGCTTGGGGTCTGATCGAAAATCCCATTCACGGTCAACCGCATAGCACTTTAAATCTCTGCATCTACCAGCCGGGTAGCCTTAATGTTCCTGGAAGGCAATTAACAAAATATCATTCTGGCAATTAAACAGGTGTCAAGATGTTAAAACACCATATAGCATCCTTTTTCAAGGAATCCTGTCTGCATTAACCACACGTACCTGTGGTGAACATGGAAACAAAAAAAAAAAACACTGATAATATATTGGCATTGTCTTGGAAACTGATTGGTCCACACCAGAGACAGCTTTTTTTTGAGCCTCGTCTCAAACATTGTCAGACCAGAGGACAACGCCAAAAGGCGAACAGCACAAAAACAATGCTGCTATCAGGGCATTGATATCTCGGGGTGAGCAGCTACAATATGGGACCTTGCCAGTTTTAAAATATAACAAGGTTTTACCCTAAATTTTGATTTAAAGCTTTCGTGACTGCAGGAATTCATATTCTTAGCTCTTTCGGTAAAGTCACGTTGAAGGGAAACAATAAAATAATAAAACAAATATAAAACAAACATTATCATGACGTTTCGACCATATCACAAACGGTCGTCATCAGGTGTGTCGGTTTGCATTAATTTATTTATTTATAAAACGGTGTATTTATTTATAAAAAACGTCAGCGCCACGCGCAGCGATTTAGCAGTTTATTTAGAAGGACTAGTCCATCTATGTTCTGAAAAGAGGAGGGGGGAGACGAAAAATTAATGTATGCTGTCTGAAAGCCACTGTAAGCATGAACAATCAATTAAGACCTGAAATTGTTAATCAAATCTTTCCAATGATTGCTAAGCCAGAATCCATCTTCTGGATTGAAATTGTCTCTGTGCTTGTATATGTGGATAGCCTCATGAACGAATCTCTCATGGTAGCCAGATGGCTTACAAAGAACCTCTGTCTTAGAAAAGTCAATGTCATGTGAGCCTACTGAGTTATAACAATGATCTGCCACGGCCGAGGTGTTGGTCCTACCGTGTTTAAGGTCTGCTTTGTGTTCACGAATGCGGTCCGAGACATGGCGTTTGGTTTCTCCAATGTAACTACTACCACAGAGGCAACTTAGTTTGTAGACACCAGGGTACTGTATGTCCGGAATCACATGTTTTACAGACGGAACCAGATCACGGATTTTATGTAATGTGTTGAAACGGACCTGGATCTTGTGTTTATTACATAAAATCCGTGATCTGGTTCCGTCTGTAAAACATGTGATTCCGGACATACAGTACCCTGGTGTCTACAAACTAAGTTGCCTCTGTGGTAGTAGTTACATTGGAGAAACCAAACGCCATGTCTCGGACCGCATTCGTGAACACAAAGCAGACCTTAAACACGGTAGGACCAACACCTCGGCCGTGGCAGATCATTGTTATAACTCAGTAGGCTCACATGACTTGACTTTTCTAAGACAGAGGTTCTTTTTAAGCCATCTGGCTACGATGAGAGATTCGTTCATGAGGCTATCCACATATACAAGCACAGAGACAATTTCAACCGAGAAGATGGATTCTGGCTTAGCAATCATTGGAAAAATTTGATAAACCATTTCAGGTCTTAATTTATTGTTCACGCTTACAGTGGCTTTCAGACAGCATACATTAATTTTTCGTCTCCCCCCTCCTCTTTTCAGAACATAGATGGACTCGTCCTTCTAAATAAACTGCCAAATTGCTGCGCGTGGCGCTGACGTTTTTTTTAATAACTAAATAAATACACCGTTTAAAAATAAATACATTTATACAAACCGACACACCTGATGACGACCGTTTGTGTTATGGTCGAAACGTGAGAATTTTTATTGTTTTATATATATATTTTATTATTTTATTGTTTCCCTTCAACGTGACTTTGCCGAAAGAGCTAAGAATATAAAAAACACACTGATAATATATTGGCATTGTCTTGTAAACTGATTGGTCCACACCAGAGACAGCTTTTTGTTGAGCCTCGTCTCAAACATTGTTAGACCAGAGGACAACGGCAAAAGGCGAACAGCACAAAAACAATGCCGCTATCAGGGCATTGGTAGCTCGGGGTGAGCAGCTATAATATGGGACCTTGCCAGTTTTAAAATATAACAAGGTTTTAGCCTAAATTTTGGTTTAAAGCTTTCGTGACTGCAGTAATTCATAAAACACGGCGATGTAATTACCAGCGAAACGTCGTACTCAAAATTGTAAATGATGTTGATTCACTCTTCAACACACCGGTGGCTAAAGTAGTGAACTATTTGTCTTTTGAAAACGTGACACATTTTTTACTGTTTGGCCGTGTCGGGTGGTGGAGGGTTACGACACATTTCTTAATAACGCGATCGAACCCAAAAACCTTTATTATGAAAAACACGGCGAGCTTCGCATTACCGTGGCGATGCTCATCAGAGGCCCTCTTCATAAACTGCTGCTTCTGTTCAATCGCTTGAAGCTGAGCTCGTGGTAGCCAAGGCTCGATGCCATTTATGTCTCAGCCCTCGGATTTTTGCGGTTTACCTGAACAGTTTGAACAAATGTCAGCTAATTAACATGCTGTCAAGGCAGCTACATCTGATGGTTTTCCCCATTTTATTTCCAACAGAAGGTCCCTCGATACACCAAGGTATGGAACATCATGCTGAACATGCAATCCCCCACCAAAAATACTGAATACTTACTGCAGTTGATCACCCATACGTCAGCTGTTCGTCTGAGCTTGCGTTGTCCTTCCCCTACAGCTTGCTTAAGCCACCTCTGATTAGCGTGGTTGGCTACAGTGAGGGAAAAAAGTATTTGATCCCCTGCTGATTTTGTACGTTTGCCCACTGACAAAGAAATGTTCTGTCTATAATTTAAACGGTAGGTTTATTTGAACAGTGAGAGACAGAATAACAACAACAAAATCCAGAAAAACGCATCTCAAAAATGTTATAAATTGATTTGCATTTTAATGAGGGAAATAAGTATTTGACCCCTCTGCAAAACATTACTTAGTACTTGGTGGCAAAACCCTTGTTGGCAATCACAGAGGTCAGACTTTTATTGTAGTTGGCCACCAGGTTTGCACACATCTCAGGAGGGATTTTGTCCCACTCCTCTTTGCAGATCTTATCCAAGTCATTAAGGTTTCGAGGCTGACGTTTGGTAACTCGAACCTTCAGCTCCCTCCACAGATTTTCTATGGCATTAAGGTCTGGGGACTGGCTAGGCCACTCCAGGACCTTAATGTGCTTCTTCTTGAGCCACTCCTTTGTTGCCTTGTCCGTGTGTTTTGGGTCATTGTCATGCTGGAATACCCATCCACGACCCATTTTCAATGCCCTGGCTGAGGGAAGGAGGTTCTCACCCAAGATTTGACGGTACATGGCCCCGTCTGTCGTCCCTTTTATGCGGTGAAGTTGTCCTGTCCCCTTAGCAGAAAAACACCCCCAAAGTATAATGTTTCCACTTCCATGTTTGACGGTGGGGATGGTGTTCTTGGGGTCATAGGCAGAATTCCTCCTCCTCCAAACACGGCGAGTTGAGTTGATGCCAAAGAGCTCCATTTTGGTCTCATCTGACCACAACACTTTCACCCAGTTGTCCTCTGAATCATTCAGATGTTCACTGGAAAACTTCAGACGGGCATGTATATGTGCTTTCTAGAGCAGGGGGACCTTGCGGGCGCTGCAGGATTTCAGTCCTTCACGGCGTAGTGTGTTACCAATTGTTTTCTTGGTGACTATGGTCCCAGCTGCCTTGAGATCAATGACAAGATCCTGCCGTGTAGTTCTGGGCCGATTCCTCACAGTTCTCATGATCATTGCAACTCCACGAAGTGAGATCTTGCATGGAGCCCCAGGCCGAGGGAGATTGACAGTTCTTTTGTATTTCTTCCATTTGCGAATAATCGCACCAACTTTTGTCACCTCACCAAGCTGCTTGGCAATGGTCTTGTAGCCCATTCCAGTCTTGTGTAGGTCTACAATCTTGTCCCTGACATCCTTGGAGAGCTCTTTGGTCTTGAACATGGTGGAGAGTTTGTAATCTGATTGATTGATTGCTTCTGTGGACAGATGTCTTTTATACAGGTAACAAGCTGAGATTAGGAGCACTCCCTTTAAGAGTGTGCTCCTAATCTCAGCTCGTTACCTGTATAAAACACACCTGGGAGCCAGAAATCTTTCTGATTGAGAGGGGGTCAAATATTTATTTCCCTCATTAAAATGCAAATCAATTTATAACATTTTTGACATGCGTTTTTCTGGATTTTTGTTGTTGTTATTCTGTCTCTCACTGTTCAAATAAACCTACAATTAAAATTATAGACTGATCATTTCTTTGTCAGTGGGCAAACGTACAAAATCAGCAGGGGATCAAATACTTTTTCCCTCACTGTAGCTTTGTATGTGTGTTACTGACTATTGAATATAGGTTTCATCCTTTCCCTGCGAATGCCGTCAGTTCAGCTTAACGTTTGGAAACGGCGACGATGACCAAATCCCCTCTCTTCAGGCGACCGCAGGCAAATATCTGCTTCTCCGGCTCTCAAAGTCTTGTGAGTATGGGTGGAGGTGTGGGTGTCTCGATGTGTGCATTGTGTACACGGGGAGTGGTGGTGTTGTGGTTAGCACGCTGCACTACGAATCCGGCGACCCGAGTTCGAGTCCCGCTCATGGCTAACACCGGTCACGAATCTATCAACCGGTCTTGGGCCTCCCCTAGGTCGACTCAGCATCAAATGAGTACCTGGTGTGGTGTGTAGTAAACATCGCCACTGGGAGAGACAAAGGCGGTCGGGCGTGATAACCACCCTCGTGTGCTGTGCCGGCCTTCATAGCTGCTACTCGCTAACAGCACTCGCCCCAACAGTCTGTTAAGGCTACACGGGAGATATTTGTCTTTTGCATTGTGTATGGTTGAGCTGAAGCAGAGGCCTCACGTCTGTGTGGCCAGCTCTAGACTCCGCAGGAGGGTCTCTATCTCCCTCTACGCATGCATAGACAGCTGGCTGGGGAGCTGGACCGGTTCCACTTGAACATCTGTGGAATACAGGTGGACTCGTTCTGGCTCTTGGAACAATGAGTGGAAGGTCCTCCGCTTGGGGAACGATAACATCACAAACAACAGGCAGTGGCCCTTCTGAATACATTTGTGAAGGGGAGCTAAATAACGATGTGTGGAGGGCCATTTGTTTCTATTATGAAGAAAGAAATCACGGATAATGCAACTAAAATGTAAATGTGGCTTTAACCTGGATAATTCGTTCACGGATAATAACTAGGCCTACTTCAGCAGTTTTTTTCTTGCTGTAGTCCCACCTGATGACGATTGCTTGTGTTGCGATCGAAATCTCGTGATCTATTATGTTTCTACCTACGTGACTTTACCAAAAGAACCAAAGAGTATGGATTGCCTGCAGTCACGAAAGCTTAAGATCAATATTAGTTCTCTTTATTAACGTATATTGCATCAGCTCATCTCTATATAAGCCAAGCCAGTAATACATGTACACATGTGTAAGTACTTTTGGACATGTGTAGGTACATGTGGATATGCGTAGGTACATGTGGGCATACGTCAGTACACATCAATTTTCAGAGACCCGAACCAGTGCATGTGGATGAGCAGAGCACCTGTTTGCAATGCAGTTGCAGCGCCAATAGCGACGCAGCACATCTATACGGCACACAAACCAATGTGGGACAGGTTTAATAGATGCCCTGAATCGAGTGCATTGTAATTGATCGACGCTTCCTATGGCTGTTGGATGTCGAGTGTGCGCATGCTGGTCAATAAAAGGGCTTGGATGAGCAGGAATGTGGGGAATTTAAGACTTGGAGCAAGAGTGGAACCAGTTGGAAGGGCATAGGGGTTGGGTGCCATTTATTTAAGGAATCGTTTCTCGCATAAGGTTTAAGTGACAGTGACGTGCAGTATCAGCAGCATGCCCCATTATGAGCTCTCTATCTTTCAGTATTATTTGGACCATGTAATTGTGTAATTGTTGTCCACAGATGGTTGTTCTCCAACTCTGAATGCAGCCTCGTCTCTTCCTCGCCTCCAAATTTACAAAGACCTTAGGACGGTGAAGGTCATGCGTTCATCCCAGACTGTCTCAAACGAGTCACAGGCACAAGTCCTGGGCTCTGAGAGCTTCCTAACGGAGACGGGGCGACGCTACTGGGAGGTGGATGTGAGCAATTGTGGAAGGTGCTGTGTGGGAGTCGCATACGAAACGATGCCGCATAACGGAGTTGGTAAGGAATGTTGGCTGGGACAGAACTCCATGTCCTGGTGTTTAGAAAAAGACGGCGACACAATCAAAGTTCTGCATGGGGGAGTGGAACTCTTTAAAAGAGAAAAGAGTTTGGGTTTTAACAAAGTCGGCATTTTTCTGGATTGTAAGGCGAGACTCCTGTCATTTTACTGCCTTGGCACCAGGGAGCTCTTGCACTCATTTCGCCACCACTTTTCCCGACCTCTTGTGCCAGCTTTTGGGTTGTGGTATTCGGAGTCTAATAATAATTATCTGTCAATCGTTGAGCTCAAGTGATAGCTCATCTCACACTCTGCTCCGTGCCATCGCAATCGTCACACACGACAGGAATCTCGTACATCATACGACGATGGCACGGGATCACGCGGAGTCATACGAGCAGACTACACACACACACACACGCAGGACTTCATTCACATCTCTCTAGATCAGGGGTCGGTAATCTGACTCCAGAGCCGGATGCTTCGTGACGTTATTCATTAAGGACCACCATCTCGTATTCACCACGTGGATTGCGGGCTCTTGAAATTCCGATTTCGAAGAAAAATGCCACTTCTCGTTATTTTGTGTTGCCAGCCTCCCTGCTCTCGATGAAGATTCTTAAGAGAAAAAATTACGATAACAGGGGTTTCCCCTTTCTGGCAAATAAAACAGTTCTGTTAAGATGGTAAGACACCAAAATCAAACCTTTTCAAGGAATCATGTCTGCATTAACCACATATACTTGTGGTGAACATGCAAAAAAACATGCTCTGACACTATTGAAACTGATTGGTCCACACCAGAGACAGCTTTCTTTAGAGCCTAGTCTCAAACAGTGTTAGACCAGAGAAAGCCAAAAGGTGTTTTTCCCATTGACTCCTGCGGTGAAAGCTGGGTTACGTTTCAGCCCCAAAAGTTTATACTCTTGAACAAATTTTTTTTTTTACGTGAGAAATTAAAGTTTTTTTATTTTAACATAACGTTATAAAACATGAAATGTAAAGCCTCACACGAAGAACCACAGTGCTTCCAAGTGCCTGTCCTCAGAGTCTGCAATTAGCACCACCACCAACACCTCCCCAACCAAGGTTTTGATGTAAATATTTCACAGGGACACTCAATAAGGGGCCATCCATTTAGTACGTACGCATGGAGGGGGAGTAACCCAAATGCGTACGCTTGCGTATGGGGTCTACTGACTACGTGCGTATGCATAGAAAATGTTTGGGGGGGGGGGGGGTGAAGCATCGATTATAATTTGTCTACATTGGCCTTCACATGAGTTAGACAGTCCGGCGGTGGACTATGTGTTTGCTCAAACACGTAAAAATTATAAATCTTTGATTGTTTCTGCGTGGATTAAATATCGGCCTTTCTATAGGAATCGGGGAGGGGGGGGGGGTGCATCAGGTGTACGTACGCAGGTGGAGGGGGGTTGTAAGAAGTACGCGTGCCTACAGGGAGGGGGGGAGGGGTCAAGTTTTGACGGAATTTCGCGTACGTACTAAATGGATTTCCCCTAACGAGAGTGACCACATATACGCACACACACACGCGTTAAACAAAATGCCCTGCAATTCAATTAATGTTTTCACGAGTAACATCGCAAACCGCAATATTAATTGCACATTGGCACTGACATTTAAGGTGAACATAATAATGTAGGGCTCAGGACACCGACGTCGGATATTTAGGACCTTTATTGGAGCACAGCGACTCACAAGCCTCCAGCCGCCATTCCTCCCAGCCGTCTCTTTCTCTTCCCCCTTCTCGACGCTCTCCTTTTATACCTGTCCCTCTCGTGCCCCCTCTAGCTCCACCAATCCCATCTCTCTGCCAGCCAACCGACTCCGCGCTGTCTCCTCTACCCGAATCCACTTTCCGGCTATTTTTGCTTTTGAACCAAGCTGACCAATCCTAGCTCAGCATTTCCTCTGGCCCCTCCCCGGGTTGGGTTGAGCCCGCCCCACCCCGCTCCTGCCCTCTAATGTTGATAGACTCCTCCCTCTCTCCCTGATCCCGAGATGCAATCATGTCCGAGGAAAATATCCTTAGAATAAAAATAACGGAAAACCGTTGATATCAGTAAAAAAAGATATATATAGGAATATACCAGACACCGCTTAGCGCTCAAGAGGCGTTGTTCCTGGAGAAGTGAGCAGCGCTAAACGAATCAGTGCTTCAAGGGGTCATGATCTCATTGTAGATATGGGAGATGCGTTCCCTACAGAGTAATTTTTTTCGTTTGAGCAATATAAGAGGGCTTCCTTGGTATATTGGTAATCGCGCTAATTCTACTCTATGGTTAACATTATTTCTTAAACAAAAATAACGTATGATAATATGAGTGAATGTTATGTACTTTACTCATGAGTGCATTCTACTGTACTCGTAGAAGGCCGTGGAGGGAGACGAGTTTGGAGGGGCTCCAAGACCTCCGTGGTCTTAGCGATGCCCTCAGTCTAAATGTCTGTGGTGAGCTTACATTGAGATGGGGAACCTGAGTCTCTCTATCCTGGTCTCGTGAGTTCTCACCCGGCTAAAAGCGCTGTAATGTTCAAAGGGTAAGAAATGGGGAAAACTAAAAAATTTTGTTCGTAAATATTTTATCGTGACCACGAATCGTGATAATGGAATCGCTGGGAGTGGGGTCTGGTTGGCTCAGAGCCATGCGTCGCTCTCATTGGCTCTCAGCTGACCAATGGGACGGCCAGCTGGTAACAATTTGAACCTCGCGGCTGCCCAGGTTATGCTGTACGCATCGGCGGTATCAATGTAATGAATTATGAGTAGTTACTAATTCATTAACGATTAATGAATATGTATTAATTAAAGTTAATTAATACTTATTAATTCCTATGGTGGACCGTTAGGAGGAGCGGGGTACACGCCACACATTTGAATCACACGGCGGTGTGACCCCAAAAGTAAATTATGAATCAAGATCAGAATGATATCTATAATCCATACGTAGTCTAGGGTTGGGTGCGTATGTACGATGTAGTTTATAAGTGCTAAGAAGCTCCCACGAGGTGTGTTGAACAAGAGTAAGGTAAAACCGTTGCCGTTGACAGTTTACCGTAGGGTGTTCACAACTCTTGACGAGGAACAGCTCCAGCGTAGCTAGACACTTCGTCGTCGTCCCAGACAAGCGCGCCTCGTGTCGGAGACGCTCCGCCTTCATAGCTGCCACCCCGCCATTAATTAGCTACCACGTGCCAGTGTCTAGCTGCAGTGCCTTCCCATCAATCATCCTGTAACCACGTGTCTTGTCTCTCGTTAACCACGTGTCTTGTGTCTCGTTAACCACGTGTCTTGTGTCTCGTTAACCACGTGTCTTGTGTCTCGTTAACCATGTGTCTTGTCTCTCGTTAACCACGTGTCTTGTGTCTCGTTAACCACGTGTCTTGTCTCTCGTTAACCACGTGTCTTGTGACTCTTTAACCACGTGTCTTGTCTCTCGTTAACCACGTGTCTTGTGACTCGTTAACCACGTGTCTTGTGTCTCGTTAACCACGTGTCTTGTGACTCGTTAACCACGTGTCTTGTGACTCGTTAACCACGTGTCTCGTCTCTCGTTAACCATGTGCCTCGTCTCTCGTTAACCACGTGTCTTGTCTCTCGTTAACCACGTGCCCTTTGCTGCTACAGTGCCCTATCATTCATCATCTCTCCACCTGTTTTATTCTAATTTCTCTCAGCATCTGTGTTTTTTCTATTTTCTCTACTTAGTTCCCTACATAAGTAACGATGGAAAGTCGAGTGATCTTATTGATATAATATAACGTTAATAATCGCGTGTAGAGTTGGGCCACTGGCGATCCGACCCCATTATAAATAAAAATAGTAATAACTAAAATCCATACATACTCTAAGTTTGGATGCATATATAATGTAGTTTATAAGTAACCATTAGAAGTCGAGTGATCTTATTCATATAATATAATGTTAATAATTGGGTGTAGAGTTAGGCCACTGGCGATCTGACCCCATTATAAATCAAGATTATAATGATAACTAAAATCCATACATAGTCTAAAGTTGGATGCATATGTAATGTAGTTTTTAAGTAACCATTAGAAGTCGAGTGATGTTATTGATATAATCTGATGTGACAAAACGTTTTTAGGGTTAGGCCAGTGTCGATCTGGCCCCAAAAGTCAATTAGAATCAAGATAATGACAACTAGAATTTATACATAGTCTAAGGTTGGATGGTATATATTGTATAGTTTATAAATGACGATTTAAATTCCAGTGATGTTATTGATATAATCTGATGTTACAAAACATGTGCAGGGATAGTGCAGTCGCCTTCCGACTCCAAAATAAAATTATGAATCAAGATAATGATAAATGTAATTCACACATAGCCTATTGTTGGGTGCGTATATACTGTAGTTTTTAAGTAACGATTTGAAGTCGTCATGTTATTGATATAATCTGATGTTACTAAACGCGTGCAGAGATAGGCCCGGCAGTGGTTAATGCGTGGATCGCGATCCCACGCGTGAATGATCGCAAAACGTTTCTCTTGTGGATCTCAGGACAGATCAGAACGCCTTTCTGACATCGGCGATTCTCGTCACATCCAATGGGAGATGTTAACTACCTCGCCTGGTATACAGGAGCGTATGGGTTCGATCCCAACCCTGACGCCTGTTGCTGTATATTTGGAGTTTGCGCGTCTCTCTCCCCGTGGTCGTGTGAATTTTTCTCCGAGTCCTCTGGGTTTTCCCTCCACATTGAGAATCGACATCACGCGTTTAGAGTATTTGGCTGCTTTAAATCTCCACGTGATGAGCCGCTACTTCGTTGAGCTATCATTTGTGATGGCCAGGTCGCTTCTGAAAAAGAGCTACATAGCTCAGTAGGCCTTACCTGGTAAAATAAATTAAAAGTAGTTTAAAGTAGTTTTAATCGTTTAAATAATAATCCCATACTTAAGATTGATTCATTGAAACCATAGTAGCTTCCACCACTAGATGGCGATATTGCTTGGTGCGTCTCGAGCAGCGTTCTTCATTGCAAGTCCCCCGTGGTTCCACTGGCGGCCCCTGGTGGCCTCTTGTGTAGCCCCTAACAAGACGCAAAGAGTGAGAACACCGCACCATCATCATCATCGTGCTGCTGTCAAACCCAACCCAATGGTTTCAAATGTGTGACGTCCCTCACACTACCGACGATGTCTTCTCGGGGGAAGTGGCAATGCTGGCCTAGAGGATATTGCGGGGTCAGAGCCACCCGAGTTAATTGTCGATGAGAGCGGTTCGCCGATTCCTCCGTTGAGATCCACGGCAGAATAGATCCTCCCAGTTGCTGGGAATGTTGACCATTGCTGGCTTATGCCATGGATATGCATCAGCATGGCCACGGGTATGTATCAATGTGTCCATGAGTATGTATCAATGTGACCATGGGTATGTATTAGTGTGATCATGAGTATGTATCAATGTGACCATGAGTATTATCAATGTGATCATGGGTATGTATTAGTGTGTCCATGGGTATGCATCAATTTGTCCATGGGGGCGGTGGGGGGGTGGTGTTGTTTTTACTTTTAATCTTTGATATGATTTAGAAAAAGACGTAATAATAAAAACTCATTTCCGGCACACAGCCGCACGTTGAGGGATGTCGCCGCAGAGTCGTTCGTGAGTCAATGCGTGCGCGCGGTTCACCTGGTGAGCAAACAGAGCCAGGGAACAATCACGCGCGTGTGTGTACGTGTGTACGTGTGTGTCTGTACGTGTGTGTGTGTACGTTGTGTGTGTGTGCGGTGCCGGACTGGCAACTCTGTCGTGGACAGTGCTGTGGGGAGAGGGTCAATTCCGATTGGCTCCTCCCCTCATGGCATCTGTGACCACCACAGTGGCTAAACGGGGGTTCTGGACGGGTGCGAGGGGCTGGTAACCCCTCCACCTTAAAAAAATTACCACGAAACCACGACTTAAATATATAACTAATAAGCTTGTGCCGGAGGCCCCAGGGGGGACAGGCGTCTATGACGTCTCCTGGCCAAACCCCAATTGGTGGAGCCAGGAGATTGAATCTCTACCCTCGGGGCTCCTCCAGAAACAACGAAAAGCCACTTCGTGTGGCCACGTGGAATGTTCGAACGCTCACTGCGGAGGAGAGGCTGCAACTCTTCTGTCGGGAGCTGGACCGGTACCGCCTGGATCTCTGTGGCATTCAGGAGGTCCGGTGGACCGGTTCTGGCTCCTGCCACCATGAGCGGTGGACAGTCCTTTTCTCGGGGTAGCAGACTGCCAAACAACAGGATGTGGCTCTTCTTTTGAACAAAAAAATGAAGGGTGCATGGGAGCGTGGCGGTGAGATGTGGGAAGCTGTAAGCCCCAGGCTACTTTGGGCTCGT